TGACTCTGTCGTGACTCTGTCTTGACTCTGTCGTGACTCTGTCGTGACTCTGTCTTGACTCTGTCGTGACTCTGTCTTGACTCTGTCGTGACTCTGTCTTGACTCTGTCGTGACTCTGTCTTGACTCTGTCGTGACTCTGTCTTGACTCTGTCGTGACTCTGTCGTGACTCTGTCAGATGTCGACGGTGACACAGAATGATGAGAACAGAAACTCCATCTATAATTCATGTTGGACAGGAAGTGACAGCCGTTACTCCTAACAACACACACAGCCTTCAACTGACGTCGTGTGAAGTTTATTCTTAGAACATGAAGGAACTCTGTCACCGTCCCCTCTTCAAACCCTCTCAGCTCCTCACACGGAGTATATGTTTATATATATATTTATGTATTCTGTACTGTACGCCACAGAGGTTTAAAAGGAGGCTGTTACTATTCTGAACAGGAAACTGCTTCACCACACAAAACACAAAACACACTCCTCCAGGTCCTGAGAGACGGGAGGAGGAGGAGGAGGAGAGGAAGAACGACAAAGACAACGACAAGACAATGAAGCAGAAGAAGAGGAGGAGGAGGAGGAGAAGAAGACCACGAAGTCTGTGGAACATGGAGATTATTTTCTATTTCTGAGTTAAAGAACTGTTGGTCTGACAGGCTGATGTTTTCTGATCACTACACACATCACATTCCGCCTCCTCCTCCTCCTCCTCTTCTTCCTCCTAACACTTTAACCTGAATGTTAGCTCCTCCGACTCCTCCTCACAACAACACTGTTGTTTCTGATCCCATCATGAAAACACTACAGATTTAACAGAAGCTGAATCTCCTCCAGTCTGAGAGGAAGATGAGGAGGAGGTGATTCAGAGACCGACACTGCCCTCTGCTGTTCACCTCTGTGCAGGCTCTCAGTCATCCATGAAGCCGTTGAACTCTTATCTAAGAAGCTTCAGGAGCAGAGTTTGGGAAACGGAATTAAAATAATTAGAAATCATAATATAAAGGAGTTCATTATTAACTGGATTAAACGAGTGAAGCAGCCAGAGCCACGAGCTAATTAATAAACATGACACAACATGACACAGACTGACACAGACTGACACAGACTGACACAGACTGACACAGACTGACAACCATGTGACACTGATGACTCGTCCACGTCAACACTACTGCAGAGGCCTGTGTTTCACAGTACAAGTACACAGCACAAATACTCCTCCACAGAATACTTCAGTGTTTCCTACCTGGCAGTGAGGGTGTGGGTTTGAACAGCCCATGACGGCGCCTTTATTCTCAAATATCTGAGGTTTAAAAATAAAGAGAGAACGTTTCACATCAGCAGGTTCACAGTCAAACAACGTGAAGAGTTTCTAACAAACTGAACAGGTGTGTGTGTGTGTGTGTGTGTGTGTACAGCTGGAATTAAATAAAAAAACATTGACAACACAGTGGCTGAGTGGTTAGGGCTCCTGCCTTACAGCTAGCAGTTTTGTCCAGGTTCTGTACTGCAGTTACTGGTTCACACTACACTGACAGTTGAATGAATAAACACAGACACACGTCACCTTCTGCAGTCATTAGGAGTTGGGTAACACGTGCAGTAGAGCATCCGTGTTCAAAGGTCAAACCCAGTCTGTTGACAAACGACTGACAATCTGATCATTGGATTTAATAAATGATGGATTTAATAAATGATGGATTTAATAAATGTGTCGTCAGGAGCTGCAGAACAACATCTTTACTTTAACATGTTCATTTCCATCAGCCTCTAACCTCGACCGCCGTCATCCCAGCAACAACAACAGCAGCTTCTCTCACTTATCCAAAGCAACAACAACAGCAGCTTCTCTCACTTTTCCAAAAAAAAAAAAAAATCATCCTCAGCAGAACTACAGGAAAATATTTAACGGCTCCTCATATAATCTTTGACATCTTATTTTATCAACACACTTCACTCTCGACGACACGCTGGATTTCTCCACTTGGCCCAGAGGCATCATTAAAACTGCATCTAATCCAATATGAGTCGCATTAAAATGAAATATTGGAAAGAGCAGAAAAGTGGATCATCAGCCGAGTCTGAGCAGGAGGTGAAGAAGTCGACTGTTTTCTCCCTGCAATTTCTCTCTGCCCTCGGAAAAAAAAAAGAATGAAATCAATAATGTGTGTGTGTGTGTGTGTGTGTGAGATACTGGTACCTGAACCCAGGAGTACGTGGTGCCGAGCTCTTCAACAAGCTGGACCCACTTGTCAATCACTGTGAGGACCTCCTCCTTCTTCATGAGGGGCAGGGTGACGTCAGAGTGGGGGTGGAAACACATGACCTTACTGGAGACAGGAGCAGACCGACGGTGAGAACTGCTGAGAACTCTAAATCAATAATGTGATTCTCTAAGACGTTGATGTCTGTGTGGGGGGGTCAAAGGTCGGGGGAGGGTTGGTACATCAGGGCAGCTTCCATTAAATGCCCCACACACGTGAACAGACTGTGGAGTGGACTGGTCAGCAGTGAAGGACAGGAGGGTCATGTGACCCAGGAAACACAGACACAGACTCTGACTCAGCAGCTGGACGTGTGACATCATCACAAGGTCTGAGTTCAGAGTTAGCTGAGTTAGCCGAGTTAGCCAAACAACAATCCGCCAACATAAAAACAACAGTTATATCCACCAACACCGCTCTGTCTGACTGTATCAACAGCTGTAGCTAACAATAACAACCAAGGTTAGCACAAACTTAGCCTTGATTAGCCCAAAATAACAAAACGGTAGCCTAGCTAATGGCTAATGACAGGGTTAAAAATAAGAGTTTAAATATTTACCTTAAAAAACCCAAAAGATCAACAAAAGTACAAATTTAACATCAAAGTAACTAAAAATCATACCTGAGTCAAACAGGAAAATATACAATACAATAAAATATATATAATAATTACATGTGATAATAAATGAAGTGGGTGGAGCTTCAACCCTGGAACCATCAGAGCCGTCAATAAAATGTCAGTAACTGAAAACTAGTAAAAAAACAGAAACCATCCGTTCTATTACTGTCTGTAGAAGGTTGGTGTGTGTGTGTGTGTGTGTGTGTGTGTCATTACCACAGTCCACGGTGGAGATACAGAGTGGACCGAACGATTTTCCAGCTGCAGACTCTCTTTGGAGCCGCGGCAGCTTGAACTGATCAATAATTGAACATGGCGCTGTGTTTACGCTCAGAGCAAAACGGAACAGTTGTCTGAATCTTCGTAGTAGTCTCTCTCCCCCTCTCTCTCTCCCCCCTCTGTATGCTTCAGTGAATTAAAGCCTGTCAGAAAAGTTTACTTTAAACAGAAAAGCGTTCTTTCGGTTCTAATGTCGGCGCTAACGCTCCTCCAACGACGGAACCAAACTTCTCTGGGTTTCGTTGTTGTTTTTGTGGCGGGAACAGATCCGCTGACTACAGAGAAACCATCTGTTCATCAACTCTAAACGTGTTCTGACTAATTGGTGTCGCCATTGTTACACGGTCGTCAGACGGGTTCAGGTCCGTACACTGAGAGTCGAAGCTTCTCCTGATTTAATGACGCCGTTATTTCAGTCCAAACAGACGACGACGGTTCGATCCTGACGTGAATCGTCAATAACTCTCGACTTACTCCAGACAAAAGACCAATTAACAACATTAGAGGTGAAGAAGTGCCGAAGTAAAATCGGTAAATGACTTTCAGTTGATATTAAGTGGTCACACTGGTGTGGTCATATCGCCATCTACTGGCGGCATAAGGGGAATACATACAGGATGGTATCCATCCATTCCTATAATAAAACATTTTATCATGAGAAAAATCTCCTGTAACTCAGGAGAAGAAAAAAGAAAAGAAAAGAAAGGTGACAAATCTGCACAAACATGACTAGTAGTTGGTTTAAATATAACTAGTCGTAAGTTAAGAGTGATCTGTGACAGAAGAGTGTCAGCTAAGGTGAAGGGAAAGGTTTACAGGACGGTGGTGAGACCAGCCATGATGTATGGTTTAGAGACGGTAGCAGTAGGTAGAAGACAGGAGGTGGAGGTGGAGCTGGAGGTGGAGCTGGAGGTGAAGCTGGAGGTGAAGCTGGAGGTGGCAGAGTTAAAGATGCTAAGATTCTCTTTAGGAGTGACAAGAATGGACAGGATCAGGAATGAGGACAGGAAGGTTAGACAGGAATGAGGTCATTAGAGGGAAAACAATTTTTTCAAAAAACAAAGCGAGAGAAGCCAGATTGAAATGGTTTGGACATGTGCAGAGGAGGGACAGTCATTGGTAGAAGAATGTTAGAGATGGAGCTACCAGGTAGGAGAAAGAGAGGAAGGTCAAAGAGGAGATATATGGATGCAGTGAGGGAGGACATGCAGATAGTTGGAGTCAGAGGAGGAGATGCAGAGAACAGGGACAGATGGAAATCAATCATTTGCTGGAGCAACTCTAGAAAAAAAGGGACAAAGCTGAAAGTACTTTTAGGCTATAAGTAAAATTAAACGTTAGTCAAGACATAAGAAAAAGACAGTTAGCCTGAAAAGATAGCTATAGGTTAGCAATATTAACCCTATCAGAGCTAACAGTTACCTAAAACTTAACTAAAATCAGATTAAATTCCTGTTTTATGTGATTATATAAGTTGAAGAAATATTTAAAATAGAATTAAATTATTTTTTGGTCTTTCAGTTTCCTTCTTACCAGACGCCTCTGGCGGCTTTGGACTGGAATAAAGGATGTTGACAGCAGCCTGTGGAGACCAACAGTGTGGGCTGTGTGAGAAAAGGTCACAAAAATAATTGAGCCAAACTCAAACGGTTGGAACAGAACAGACACTCACCTGGATCTGGAGCGTGAGGCTGAAGTGCAGGGAAGTCATTGTCAAACACAAAAGTGCTGTCGTAGTCAGGGTTGACCTGGACACACACACACACACACACACACCTGAGTACAGACAGCACCACTGACCAACCCACACCGACACCGACGACTGTCGATCAACATCTCACCTCTCCGTTTGCTCGGGTGTTCCCAGGACACAGGGGGTTTTTGGGGTCATTTCTGGGGACACGCTCCTCGGGGGGTCTTTCCACCTGACCAGCCCACGGTCTGTTCATACGATGGGCCGACACCAGCACCCAGCTGTCACGCAGAGGGTTGTAGCGCAGGTGCTGGTGCTCTGAGGTTCACATGTAGCAGAGAAAGACACAGAAATCAGACCTGTCAATCAAATGCTCCATCAAATATGTTCAACAGGTTCTGACAGATCTGTAACTCACCTTTTTTTTCTTGGCTAACCTTCACCTATTGTTGCTATTTTCTTTGAAAACATTGACCTTTTGTAATTTAATGGCCAATAATGATATAAGTCTTGTCAGTTATGGTAGTTTTCACTAAATAACGCAATCTTGACAGCTAGCTGTTAGCATTGTTTATTTGTTATTTTTGCTTTGAAAAACTATTTCTAGTTGTTTGTGTTGTCATTTTTTGCGATTCACTCATTTTTTTAAAAATATATATTTTTCAGAAAACCTTGTCATTAGCTGTCATTTGGTTCAGAAGTTTGTTAAATTATATAAAGTATTTCTAACTCCTTCGTACTCAGTACAGTCACAGTATGAATGTTGGACACGGGCGCTGAAACAGGAACAAGTCACGGGGCTGAAAGATGTTTGTTTGAGGCAAAACTCCATTGACGATTATGCAAATTCTAAGTTTACTGTGGTAATAAACGACACGGCTTCAGGGTGAAATGGAGTTGGTGACATTTGATAAATTGCTTTGACCTACAGTTAAATTCGGCGACTAAATAAACCAAGAAGTATCACTGTGGTTCACGACATTATTCTCTTTTCAACGATTTGCTCCCGGCTGCGATGTATTTTAATGTATGTTAATGAGGGGGTAATTCTAGAAACAGTCAATTTCGACAGAGTCGTGCTGCAGTTTAATGAGTCCAGGGTGAAGTTCAACAATGATGTGCTCAGAGTAATGGAACGACGACTGTTTGTGGAGAGTTAAACTGTTCGACTGTAAAGAGCTTTGACTACGGTGTCAAGTTTGAATTTAAAGTCTATTAAAATCATTTTAAATTCGTACCTTTTGGGTCAAAAACCACCGCCTCTTCTCCGCTCATGCTGAAAAAGCCGACTGTCAACGTTGTTTTAAATCATTAAATGAACCACTTTGTATTTACTATATTTAGTTGCTGTCTTGTGCGATATTTGCACTTCCTGTTTCTCACGAGCGGAGACAGGAATTGCTGATTGTGACCAAAAGACGTAAAATAGCTAAATCTAAAGCAAATAAAAATGTCCATAAATTCACAGATTATTATTGATTTTTCTATTAGAACCCTTGAACTGAATCATCCTGTTGAAAATCCATACACGACGACAATGTATTTTAATGTGAATTTCAACGATAATTCAGAAAACAAATGGGAGGATATAATTTAATGGCAACCCAACATTACTCACGCCTACCATGGCAACAGCGCCTTCTGATTGGTTTAGCGGTGACTCCGGTCCAATGACGAGCAGGAAAGACATGGTTGTGGACATTTCCACGCCTCTCTCTCCCCTCTCTCTCCCCCTCTCTCTCCAGTCTCATTCCTCCTCCGTGTGCACATGTAGTCAAACTCACAGTTTCTGCCTCTCTGTCTGACCGTGTGTTTTTTAAAAAACATGTCTTTGTTAAAAATCATCTTCAAACTCTTCGTCTTCGCGTCACTCACCGCTGTGGTCGTGTTGCTGCTGCAGCACTGGTTGGCAACCAAGCAGTATGTGTTCAACAAAGACGACATCGCCAAGTTAGCCAAACAGTACGCAGGTGAGTGACACACGTCACTGGAAGGTGAAGCCTTTAAACATATTTACTGTCAAACCCTGTGTTCTCAGGACAGGACTCGGAGCAGGCCTTCTCCAAAGTGGTGGTGGAGCTCAGAAAAAGGTGACGACTGCTGTCGGTGACTCTCTTTACCGTCACCTACTGTAAACACTATCTCGCTACAGACATAGGTGTCCAAAGTCTGGCCCGAGGCCCAGGTTTGTCACAGGTTTCTGTGGTCGTCAATGTGTTTTAAAGAACCAGAATTATGTTTCCATGTGTCACAGTCCAGTAGGAGCAGTTGACCTGAGGAGGTCAAACCTGGGTCAACCCCCCCCACCCCCCGTCTGTACCACTGACTCTAACTACACAGTAAAGAAGTCAAGCATCAAACCTCGACAGTTTGAACCAGGGTTATTGACTGTACACCCCCCCCCCCCCCCCCCCCCCCGGGGGACAGGTGCTTTTTTCCCCTCTCTCTCTGTGGGGGGGGGCG